GTATGGGCCCGCTGTTTCTGAACCCAAACGAAAAAAAAATTTGCGCGCACAACAACATACTTAAGACGAAATCTTTACTAAAGCAATCTACTAACTTTTTGAGACAAATAAAAATAAAACTATTGAAAATAAATGTTTAAATTTTGTTTTCATTAATCCTGCCCTTCTCATCTAATCGCGCTTCAATTGTCACGTGGTTGTTAATGTCCATCGCAATAGGTTTCAGACCACGTTACCTTCCGACTTCCGCGACCTATTTAGATTGACCTTGTAAATTGTACGTATGTGTTTAGAGGAAATTTATTTCCTCGTGGTATGGAACAAATTATAGGAAACAGTGTTCAAACATTATGTCTCTTCCTACTTTTTCTGTCTGTCACCCGATTCAGTAGAATGGCGGAAGTTTAACCCCTTCCTCAACGACCAGCCATCTTGATCTGGTTTCTTCGTTCATACATGCTGACATTGGTACAGTGTACTAGAACTCTAACATTGGCAACCAAAAAACAATTAATGCGCCTATTTGGGCACTACGTCAGCAATGGATCATTAAGTAGTGTGTTACTTTATTTCTAAAATGTATAGATGCGTATGTATATATACATATATATATATATATATATATATATATATATATATATATATTATATATATATATATATATATATATATAGTGGTCTGAAACCACGTTTGTGACCACTCACGGAGGATCTACTGGACTATATATATATATATATATTATATATATATATATATATATATATATATACATATACCGCAGTTTTTATTACGCGGCGCTGGCAATGTGACGCTATGACCGAAAAAAAAACAAACGGGCGTTTCCTACACTTCACTAAAACTAGGGTGCCTTGATGCCCGCGCGCTCCGCTGAGCGGGGGCGCGCGCATCGAGGCACTCTAACTCAAAACTTTATGGTGCTGCCATCTACCAGTTACTTTTTGTTCTAAAAAACTTCGTTTCTTTAAATTACTGCTAGATAGCGTCCATATCTCACGCAGTGCCTACTCGAGGACATCTTCATTCTAACAGATTCAAAAGCAGCCCACCGAAAATTTTGTAAAGGCTACATTGGCCCCATTGCGCATCGACTTCTTACACAACTCTCGTCCTCACGCTCAGAGGGTGAATGGAAACGGCTGATATGGATACCCGGCCACTGCCGAGTTAGAGGCAATGAGCTCGCCCATGCCTCGGCCCAAGAATTACTCTTCCGGACCTCCGACCCTGGCATATCGCATCCACCCTCGGCTATGCGTATGGACCCGCTGCTAACATACAGAAATATTCTAGAACATCAAAGACTCGAAAGACGGAAACTTCCACCCCCGGGGCCAAAGCTCAGTAAAGAATCTTAGGTAGCGTAACGTCGCCTGCAGACCTTGTAATACCCCAGTCCATACATACTGTCCAAGATAGATCGCGACACATACGCACCACAGTGCAGGTTCTGCGTCAATAAAACAGCCACCCTGTACCACATGGTATGGGAATGCCCACACAATCCACCTCTAAAACCCAGAGCACAACACAACACTGTAGGGTGGGAGGCAGCTCTGTCCAGCTTAGAACCGAAGAACCAAGAGGCCCTCGTGAGACGAGCAAGGACAGCGGCCCGTGCCAATCGGATCCCACTGACCGACATTTCTTCCTTGGTCGCAAATAAATGTTTTATTCTCTCTCTCTCTCTACTCAAGGGCATCACAAAGCTCTTCCATATATAAAAGTACGTCTTACTCGCCCAACGTTTGTTCTAAATACACAAATTAATGAAACTCACAGAAACAAAAAAAGAGAGAGGGGACCTTTACAGCTAAGCCTATTCTCATCATGGCATAGTTAATGATGCAAAATTATGTTTAGTTGTACATCTAATTAAGCCCATGCTTAGCAAGTTATTGCTACTATTCTATTTCGGCCGCAAGCTCCACTGTTAGTCCAGCCTTTCCCCACTGGAGCAAGCTGTGCAGATTTTAAACGCGATAGCATATAAAAAGCTCGCTTCACAGATATTACAGTGTCGGTGTCGTTGGTTGTGAGCAGAAAATCGTCATCTTGTGGGTGACCAAAAAATCGACAAAGATATGGAAATAAATATTAAAATTTTTCGGGTTGTGAGTAAGGATCGAACCCACGACGATACCGTGGCGAGCAAGTGTTCCACCAGACAGCCACCTTGGAAACGCAGTTCAAGTAACTTCCTCTGCTTTGAAATTGTAGTTGAAATAACTCGGGCTTTACAAACACGTGCCTTCTGTATACAGGCAATACACTGAAACGTGTAATATCGCAGTAATATTGCGAGGTGCAGTATAAATTTTTATGAAAGGGAACATACGAGCGCGTGGCCTGTGCTCTGCTGCGTCTGCCTACAGCACCATCAGCCGACAGATAAAGAAAGCGCGTCCGCTTTTGGCGGCATCGTCCGTTGAGAGACCAGAGCGTGAGCACAGCTTAGCAGCGCTTGTCCAATGGTCATCACTTGTTTCGTTCGCTTGCAGATGGCACAATAAGCGGACGCACTTTCTTTATATGTCAGTTAATGCGGCTGTATAGGCAGCGGCGACAGAGCGCAGGCCACTCCCTTGCGTGTTCCCTTTCATAGAAATTTACGCCGTAAAATCGTACATTACGATTGTTAGTCAGAACATGTCATCATAATAACGACTCATTACAATAACGGAGTGAACGGACACAGTAGACGTGGTAGAAACAAACCGACCGCGGTCAGAACAAACAACACACATATATTTAAATACTTTCAGCACGACGATATTGTCAGCCCAGTTATTATAACATCAATTGTGAACCACCTAAACAACCTTACACAGTATTACAAAACGCTCAAAACTTAACAAACACAAGAACACACTCGAAGTGGCTTCGGCAACACTTGACTTACCACAAGGGTCCCCTGCACGCAACCCGCGGTGCCGCGCACCGGGGACTCACCGCTACAGACAACCTCAAAATGGTTGATTGGGCGAGTTGGTGATACATGACTAATTATGAAATGGAAGCGCACAACGTTGAAGCAGACGGAAAGACAGGGACAAGCGCCAGGGACAAGACAGGGATAGCGCTTGTCCCTGTCTTTCCGTCTGCTTCAACGTTGTGCGCTTCCATTTCATAATTAGTACAGACAACCGTTCGCGCCAACCGCCACCCGCCAAAGAGAACCACTTCTCTCTCCTCTGCCACCAACAAGGCCAGGCGTAACCGCCCGCGCTACCGTTTTAACAACCATGATGATGATGATGATGATGATGGTGATGGATGAATGGATGGATGGATGGATGTGGCTGTACCCTTTAGATTGGGCGGCGGCTAACGCCACCTAGCCGTAATATTAAGTGAACTAACCACTAGATTTATCTTTTTTTTCCCTTTAAATAGTAAAGTTGGGGACTGGTACTTTGCAGTGAAGGGTTTAATTTTCACTCGTGCCTTGACTTTAGCCACCAATCAGACAACCATCTAGTTAATTCTACACGCCTAAAGTCTATTTTGCCCTCCCTGTCCCTAAACCCCAGTGCTTTGAAAAACTCTGTGACATCATCCTCGCGAGCAAAACGCCACCTAGCGCTTGGTAGTCGTGAACCCGAAATGCGGCCTATGCGCGCGCAAACAACTTTACATGGGTGATAGCAGCCCCACAGACTTCGTGGTTCAAAGCCGGCCACCCATTACGAATGATACACGCGTTACTGCGCGTATTCCCTTAACACCAGGTAGTGGGTGCATAACAAGTTCAAAAAGATCTCATGCACATAATTGTTCGTCGTTTGAAGCATGCTACCAATACACAGAATACAGCCATATCAGAAATTTTCACCTGCGCAAGCGACTTTCAACTTTATCGATTACATTGTAATAATCCACAATTCGAACTTCTCGAGAAATATCATACAATAAAAAGTATGCACTGATTGGTCGAAGAACGCACTAGGGACAGGATATTGATTTGATTTGTGGGGTTTAACGTCCCAAAACCACCGTATGATTATGAGAGACGCCGTAGTGGAGGGCTCCGGAAATTTCGACCACCTGGGGTTCTTTAACGTGCACCCAAATCTGAGCACACGGGCCTACAACATTTCCGCCTCCATCGGAAATGCAGCCGCCGCAGCCGGGAGGGACAGGATATTGCAATCGCGTTCAACTCTTAACACTCCCCCCCCCCCCCTTTTTTTTTTCTGTTGTTCACATCTGTCGCTTGTCCCAGAATTTTACTTAAACTTATTGGTACTCGTATGTTGATACACTTAACCAATGATGTGAAAGTGAGTTTCAAAATTATTATTTATTGCCGTAAAAATTTTATACAGCCCTAACCAATCGTCTGCAACACAGCACGTGCCACATATCGGTGGATAGAAGAAGAAGGCAAACAAGGTTACCGAAGGCTGCTGCTGCTGCTGCAAGCAATCGAGCAAGCTACTGCTGTTCAAGGTTCGATTAGCCTTCTAAAACTAAACGCAGATCACATACGAACCCACAAGTAAATATTCTGTGATCACACACGACGTCATCACCTCCGCGAAATCGGCTTGCCGACAGGTTCCAGAGCCATGATCGCGCCACTGGCCAAGATGAGCTGCACTACCGCTGTGGCCGTTTTCCTTTGCATCTTTGCTCATTCTCAAGTTGTTTGTCAGGTAAATCTAGCCGGATTTCTGCGACCCTGTTCTTGCCTGTATGCCTTTGTCGTTAAGACTAGCGATGTCATCCAGATTCTTTGCACTGGATGAAAGAGTTGCAGCTACAGGAAACGACGTGGTAAGTGTAAATGTGCACTAACATCGTGAACGAGAAGTGAGGGAATGCCCGTTGCACTGTAACTCTTTGCCATTACAGTACAGCACGAATTTTCCCACAAGCACTCAGAGCGTCTATTTTCTCGTTAAGGTATACCCCGTCTACTTTCTACAGCCGCACTGAAACGTGAAAACGACCACTTGCCTGCGTGCTAACGTGCGCAGGTGACAAAGTGAAGCTGAAGGACGTGCAGGTTCTCACGTTGCAGCAAGGACAGTACACAGCCGGCCGCCGCTCCCACCCCGTGCCACAGCTGAACTGCCGTGGGGGCAGCGCGGGCTGCCGAAACCAGCCTTCGGTCGTTCAATGCTACAACCGGGGTACCGACGGCCAGGATGTGCAGGTGATCTTTCTTGCCACGGGACTGCTCATTCACAAGGTCGCACACGGATTTGTCGCTTCTTATGTCACGTAGTCGTGGGTGATCGATAACTTCTCTATGCGGTCACGGACGCAGCTCCATAAAGTACCAGTACGAAAACATAGCAGCTGCCTAGGCGCCAGAGCATCGTATTCACTGCTTGGGCGATCTTGCTTTCATGTGATAAAGACGCGGTCAGAATATGTTATTGGAGCCCCCTTATCCTCGAAAACTGACGTGATCCTTGACGCATATGCGCATAGGATGAGCATAAAAGCCATTTTCTTTTTCTTCTAAATTGCCGTTTGCTTAAGAAAACGTCAGCGCTGTCGTTGCTAGTACACTTAGTACTTCCTATAGTATACTCTACGGCAGGCATGGTTGAAGCTCCTTAAAACACGTTCGAGAACAGAACGTTCAGCAATGGTCATGCGTATGGAACGAAAGCTGCGCTAAATAAAGGGGACATACGGACTTATGGAAATGAACAAGAAGCTACTGGCGCCGACTACCACCTGTTCGTTATTGTGTACTGCCACCTTTGCATTCTATTCATTCTTGGAAGTAGAGGCGTTTTTCAAGCGAGAACCTAAGCACTGCACCACACCGTCACAAACACGTTGGAAAACAATCATAGAAAAGAATTGCGCATTCTAAATGTCTCACAATCAGCTATCGATTAGTTCACGCTTACATTTCATTCACTTCGTGGCAATCTTCGTCACATAGCTAAACTGCTTAACTTTTCCTATGTACACCTGCACCCGTATAAGTGACGACGTGGTCGAGCACTTGTGGTTTCGCTTGAAAAACACTTGGTCTTTTGACCCTTCAAGTTTTGCATACCGATAACGGCAATCGCCATCTGGAGAGAGGGGCGTACATCTACTGTCTTGCATGGTTGATAAAGCATAGTGATACTAAAAACGTATAATGTGATATAGATAGCGCACAATCCGAAGAATTCCTCTAGTGAGTCTGCAGAACATCGTTCGGTGAAGCCATGACATCTTTTGACATTGACTAAATGGTTGACTTCTGGCTATTGAATGTCTTCATTCGTTCATTTGCAGTGGGAGTGCAAGGCGGAGATGAAGAGATCTCAAAAATTCGGCCTCCTTCGAGTTACGTGCGAAGGATACGATTCCCCGCGAGATGAATACGTCCTCGTTGGTTCATGTGGCGTGAGTGTGAACTGCTGTTATTCCCTTCACGCGAGTCATGCGTTTACAACTGTCATATCTTCCACACTGAAACAGCTAGTATTGCATCCTCAACAAAGCTTATTCGCAAACTTGACTGTCAAGGTGCAGGTGAACGCGTTTTCTCTGCACATTGTTTCTTACCGCAAAGGGGTCACATCCGAGGCTGGAAACAAGCTTGGCAGTAACGAAATTAGCGTACATATATTGTTCGTTACTGTAATGCTTCATTAAATCAATTACTTTCGTGGCTGGTAATTTAGTAGTGTAATTCATTACTTTTATGTTAAGAAAGTAATCATTTCTATACCAATTATTTATGATTAGATAGAAATGGTACATCCACTTCTGTTAAATTCTTCTGGCATAAAAAAGTGACGGAAGGAAATAAAAAAATTAAAATTAAGAATAAGTTAATCGGACTTTCGTACCTGAAGCGTGAGAAATTAAACAATCAACTCCGAGATCTAAACTTCGATGTATTTTGAATGAAGTGTACATAAATTAGAGCACAGATTATGAACGCATTTTAAAGTAATTACGATGAAAACGCAGTGAAATTAAATAAATAGATAGATAGATAGATAAATAGACAGATAGATAGATAGATAGATAGATAGATAGATAGATAGATAGATAGATAGATAGATAGATAGATAGATAGATAGATAGATAGATAGATAGATAGATAGATAGATAGATAGATAGATAGATAGATAGAATCTGGCAGCAGCGGCATCGCATGAGCGTCATCTAAACCTGAATCCTCTGTTTTACGCAGCCGTCCTTGTCTGTGGCTGTTTCTTCGGTGATCATCTTCGTGGTGCTGTGCGGCCGATTAGCTCTTTTGGACAGCGCTGAGTCGCCCACGTGGGTGAATCTGCGACTGCGCAGCCTCTTAGTGCTGCGTCGCTGATATCGGCAAGTCCACCGCTGGAGATCGCTGCTATCGCGGCGACACCCTATAAACAAGCCGGCATTGACGCCCACTCTTCACTGGCAGCAGCGGCATCGCATGAGCGTCATCTAAACCTGAATCCTCTGTTTTACGCAGCCGTCCTTGTCTGTGGCTGTTTCTTCGGTGATCATCTTCGTGGTGCTGTGCGGCCGATTAGCTCTTTTGGACAGCGCTGAGTCGCCCACGTGGGTGAATCTGCGACTGCGCAGCCTCTTAGTGCTGCGTCGCTGATATCGGCAAGTCCACCGCTGGAGATCGCTGCTATCGCGGCGACACCCTATAAACAAGCCGGCATTGACGCCCACTCTTCACTGGCAGCAGCGGCATCGCATGAGCGTCATCTAAACCTGAATCCTCTGTTTTACGCAGGTATTCCGACGTCAATTTTTTTCTCTTGTTAATTTTTCACTGCTGCTGCTGCTGCTGCCATCAAGTGTATCTTTTCTTCTCGCTTTTTTTTTTTTTTTTTTTTTTTTTTTTCCTGAGTGTGTTTCTTACTTGTACCATGCCGACGAATGCAGAACTGTCAAAACAAGTTGAGGCGTTGGAAGACAAGCTTAACAATATAGCTAAAGGTACAAGTGAGCTCATCTTTGGTAAGATCCTGCTGAGAATGAAGGAATCTGGGATCGACGTTGTTGAACTTAAGAGAGAAGTTGACTCGCTGAGTTCCAGTGTTGAGCATTTGAATGGACTTCTTGAGGATATGCGGTGCAAAAATTCTGCGTTGTCCGATGAAAATACGCAACTCCGATCCCAGAACCAATCATTGACCCGCAGGGTCGAGGAGCTTGAGCAGTACTCTCGTCTCAGCAATGTCGAGATCAAGGGCATTCCATGTACCCAAGGAGAAGACTGTGTTGAAATCCTGAAAACAGTGGGGGACAAAATTGGTTGTCCCATTTTGCCCTATGATCTCGATATTGTTCATCGCGTGCCTACCCGATCTATTGACAGGAAAAACATCATTGCTCGATTTTGTTCTAGAACCAAGAAGGCCGATTTTGTTAGCAAAGCGCGTAAAGCCAGGCTCTGTCTTAGTGATATAGGGTTGTCTAGTCAGTCCAAATTTCCCGTATTTGTAAATGAGCATCTCACTGCCTGTAACAAGACTCTCTTCTCCAAAGCTCTTTCATTGAAAAAAGAAAAAAAATGGTTGTTCCTGTGGACTGACAACTGCCAAATTAAGGCCAGGAAAACAACTACTAGTAAAGTTCTACGCATTCGGGACGAATCTGACCTAAACAAAATAGTATAAAGCTGTTTGTTCATACTTTGGATAGTACAATCATGGCTTCCGTACTAAAACCAGATCAATTGCACTCTTTTCTGAATGGATTTCATTCCATTATTCACTTTAATGCAAGAAGTCTTCATAAACGGTTTGACATCATTGACGGTTTCCTCACTTCACTTTCTTGTTCATTTTCAATGATTGCCATCACTGAAACTTGGTTGTCTGACGATGACAAAAATCTATATTGCTTTCATAACTTTAATTCTGAATACTGCAACAGAATAACCAGTAATTACGGTGGTGCTGCCATATTTGTTTCTTCTGGAATAGCTTATCGAAGAAGACATGACCTATTCTTAACCGTTGATAACTGTGAGTCTGTTTGGGTTGAAATAGATAACTGCTTTTTGACTGGTGACAATAAGAACCTCATATTTGGTTGTGTTTACCGTTCTCCTTCTTCACCAATTAGTGATTTCTGTACTAATCTCGACCATATTTTGCATAAAATTTCAATAGAAAATAAAAATGTTGTCATAATGGGTGATTTCAACATTAACTTACTAGATGAAGGATCACCCATCTGTATCAACTATACTAGTCTGCTTCATGGTTACGGATATGATTGCCTGATTGACGCTCCCACGCGTGAAGATTTTTCAGGCTCATGTACACTCATCGATCATGCTCTCTCTAATTTACTAGACCCACCAGAGGCAAAAGTTTTACACATTGACATCAGTGATCATTACCCCATCATCCTACGCTTCAATACTAATGCTCGACCGCATTCCTTTTCTCACACAAGATATGTGCTGGACAAAGAAAGTTTTAAAACGGCTGTTGCTAACACTAACTGGACTGAAATTAAGTCAATAATCAACCCACAGAAAGCTTTTTCTAAATTTCTTTCACTGATTTCAACGCATTTAATGAAATTCACTTTCAAAACAAAATGTAAAAAAATCATCGCTTTCTCTCATAATCCATGGCTTTCGCAACAGCTATTAACAGAAATGCGCAAACGAGATAACTTGTATAGAAAAACTAAAAAACAACCTTTTAATAAGAACTTAAGTGCCCGATATAAAATCTTCTGCAATGCTCTTAACTACAAACTTAAAACTGCCAAAAGACTTTATTTTGAAGAAAGAATCCAACATGCTTCTAGCACTAAAAAGAAATGGGAGATTGTGAACTCTTTTTTAAACAGGAACTCGAGACAAGACGAGGTACGTCGAATTATAATTGATGGAGTAGAATATGATTCCCCTTCAGAAGTAGCTGAGGCTTTTAGCAACTTCTTCTTCCCTGATAATACCAATTCTCCTACAGAAAGCATTAATACTTCTCGCTTACCCCACTCATTCTTTTTATTTCCTACAATACCGGATGAAATAACTGATGTTATTCGTAATTTAAAAATGACTAGTGCTGGCATAGATGAGATCCATCCTGCTAACATAAAATCTATTGTGCATATAATATCAGACATTCTTTCATTTATTGTTAATTTGATGTTCAAGAATGGTGTATTCCCTTATGAATTGAAGCGTGGCAAAGTTATCCCTGTTTTTAAAAAGGGGGATAAATCATTACTAAACAACTACCGTCCTATTTGTATTTTACCATTCCTTGGAAAAGTGGTTGAGAAACTCATTGAGACACGACTAACTAAATATCTTTCCAAGTTTAACATTATCTCTTCCTCTCAGTTTGGTTTTCGCCATGGCTACTCAACAGAGATGGCGCTTATCCATCTTACTGATCAGATAAAAAAATTAATAGACGAAGGATGCCTAGTTGCCTCAATATTCATCGATCTAACAAAAGCATTTGACAGCATAAATCATAATATTCTGTTCACTAAACTGGAGTCCATTGGCATTTGCGGCCCTGCTCTTTCATTACTAAAAAGCTACTTACACAACAGAGTTCAAGTTGTTTCTATTTCCAACGTCTATTCCCGACAGCGAACCACTAACATTGGTGTGCCCCAAGGCTCCATTTTGGGGCCACTTCTGTTTTTGATTTATATTAATGATTTGCCCAAGTGTCTGTCTTCATCACAATGCATTTTGTACGCCGACGATACCACCATATTCACCTCTCATAAAGACATCTCATCTCTTGTAACCATTTTGAATGCTGACTTAGAAAGTATTTTCAAATGGTGTAATACTAATATGTTGTCTATTAATGCTTCTAAAACCAAGTTTGTTGTTTTCACCTCACACCAGCGGAATGTAACATCAGCACCTAATATTACTTTTGGCCCCCACTCTATCTCTCCTTGCTCATTTTCTTCCTTCCTTGGCATCCTTCTAGATTGCAATTTAAAATATCAGAGACATATTGCTCACATAAAAAAAAAATTAGCATATGGTATAAGAGTCTTGGTCAAAACGCGCCCGTACTTCTCACGCAGCACATTACTATCCCTCTATCACTCTTTCGTACATTCTCATTTTACCTACGGTATAACTTGTTGGGGCAATACTTACAATACTCACATTTCGTCTCTTCAAATCGTCCAAAATCATGCTATTCGACTAATTACATCCAGCCCACGTTTTTCTAATGCTAAATCTTTACTACATGAAAATAACATCCTTACTCTCACTGAACTTACTAAATTCAACCTTGGCATTTTTTTCTACAGACTTCTTAATAATCAACTTCCCCCTACCATTTTCCCGTCTTCTGATCTTGTTATTTATAGTAATACCCGATTTGCACTAAACAACAACTTCCTTCTACCCAGTATACGTACTAATTATGGCAAACAAACTGTTAAATTCACTTCTATCTCATTGTGGAATACTCTTCCACTTAACATAAAATCTATCAGTTCATTTCATCAATTTAAGAAACAGTATAAATTGTATTTGCTTCATGCGGACTAACCATAAGACTTACTGCTTGTTTTATTTGACGTATGCTTTTGTTTGGTCTGTTTTTTGTATTTCTTTTTATTTGTTTTTTTTATTTCCTTTTATTATTTAGTTTTGTATATTGATTGTTAAACTGTTCTATCGCTTTTTTTTTTTTTTCTCTATTTTTATGCGTTCAGTTGTACGCTTTGATTTATACTTACGCTCCTGTTGCTTAAATGTGTTTAATAACTCATTGCATTTGTACAGGAGGTCCCGATACAGTCACTTGACTATGGGACCTCCTTCTGTATACTAAATTCCTGTCACTTGTACTGAATTTTATTAATAAAAAAATTTTCTGATTTTCTGATTTCTGATAGATAGATAGATAGATAGATAGATAGATAGATAGATAGATAGATAGATAGATAGATAGATAGATGCTGTTATGGAGGCGTGGTAAAAGCGATATTTTAACCAATACACATGGATCGGGCTACCGCTTCTGGCTTGGTATCTAGCCACTCCTTGCATTTTATCTGCATCTGCGCACGTTTACTTTTCTCATTTATTTTACTGATACGACTGAATAACGCGCTCTCATATTTCTCACCATGTTGCTTTTATTGGCTTTCAGTTGCACGTTAAAAAAGCTCGCGTCAATTGTGGACGTAATAAAGCTGTTTCACTCACTCCCACTCTTTTGTTCTACAACAGTTAGAATACTATCTGGAGAGGACGACTCATGACGGTAACCCGTCTCATGGCACGTAAGCAGTACTCCCTCTTTTTCTGCATGGCCTGAGATCTTATGGTTTCCGTTCACAATAAGTGACCTTTTAGTGAACAACCGGAAGTTTGCCTTTACGTTAGTTTAAGTATGACAGTAAGATAGGCTTAATTACTGCACTATATTTAGGACATACTCAATGCGACAACAAATCACAAGCGGCATTACCAATACGGGAAAGCTTACCTAACTCACGAAAAGAAAACTCGGTAAATAGGAGTGAAATGCAATTTATAGAGCGCGTAGTTCATATGAGCAGTCATTCACAGTCCCGTCTTGCAGTCAGTAGAAAAATCCGCGCTGACGTATTTGGCCCACCCAGTCAGGT